GAGCGTTTACAAAACAAAATTTGTAACGTACACGACACAAAATAGGGACGAGGATATCGGAAAGATGTTCGTTGACTCACTGGAGAAGGATCTGAAACCGGTGTATGAAATTCTTAGAAAAGTAACGCCAATAAACATGACGGAAAAGGATGAAAAGAACTACGCTGGGTCCGACAACTGCTATGCATGCAATATACAATTCGGAACCGTCAGGATAAATGAATGGAACGGTAAGGAAGAAAAAGTAATTAAGTGTAGGGACCATTGTCATATCACCGGCAAATATCGAGGAGCTGCATGCGATAAATGCAACCTACGAATGAGAACACCAAAATTCGTGCCAATACTTTTTCACAATCTGGAAAGTTACGATGCACATCTGTTCGTAAAAAGTCTGGGACTCAGTGAAGGTAATATTAATTGCATTCCGAAAACAGATGAAAAGTATATATCATTCAGTAAGGGAATCCCTATGGAGACTATCGTATTAGGCGATGAAGAAAAAACACTATGTCTGGAAATGCGGTTCCTGGACTCGTACAAGTTCACGCTCGCATCACTCGACTATCTCGCCAGCACGCTCAGCAAGGATGACTTCCACACACTAGAAAGCCAACTGGAACACTCAGGAATAGAATTACTAAAAAGAAAAGGGGTGTTCCCGTATGAATTCATGACAGGCTACGACAAATTACAATACGATAGGTTACCCAGCAAGAAAGAGTTTTACAGCAAACTAAACAACACCGACATCAGCGATGAGGACTACGAACATGCACAAAAGGTTTGGAAGGCGTTCGACTGCAAAACGATGCGTGACTACCACGACGTCTACCTCAAGACAGACGTGTTGCTTCTCACAGACGTCATGTGTAAGTTTAGGAAGATGTGTATGGAAAATTATGGATTAGATTCCTTACACTACTACGGTGCGCCAGGACTCACGTTGGACGCAGCACTAAAGTTTACCAAGGCAAAACTAGAGCTTATTCACGATCCTACCATGTACCTCATGGTAGAGAAAGGAATACGAGGTGGAATCAGCACGATAATGAAAAGATACGCAAAGGCAAATAATAAATATATGGAAAACCACGATCCCGAAAAGGATAGCATATACATACCATACTTAGACGCCAATAACCTATATGGATGGGCAATGAGTCAACCACTACCAGTTGGAAACTTCAAATGGATGACAGAGGCTGAACTAAGCAACTGGGAAAACATCCCATGCATACTGGAAGTGGATTTGGAATATCCGGAAAATCTACACGACAACCACAACGAATATCCACTCGCACCGGAAAGCATAGAAGTAAATAAAGTCAAGAAATTAATTCCAAACTTAAACAATAAGAAAAACTATGTATTGCATTATAGGAGCCTGGAACTATATCTAGAATTAGGACTAAAACTAACAAAAGTACATCGTGGGGTAAAGTTCGAGGAAAGTCCATGGCTAGCAAAATATATACAACTTAACACAAATCTTAGAACAAAAAGTACAACAGACTTTGAAAAGAACTTCTTTAAGCTAATGAATAACTCATTATTTGGAAAGACCATGGAGAACGTCCGGAACAGAGTAAACGTTAAACTAGTGACCACTGAGGAGCAGTTAAACAAACTCGCGAGAAAGCCACACTTCAAAGGTGTAAACATTTTCACAGACAACTTAACCGCTGTTCACATGGAAAAAACCACTGTCAAACTTGTAAAACCCATATACTTAGGAATGAGCATCTTAGACCTAAGCAAAACACTCATGTATAACTTTCACTATAACTACATCAAACCAAAATACGGTAATAATGCAAACTTGCTCTTCACAGACACGGACAGTTTATGCTATGAAATTAAAACGAAAGATTTCTACAAGGATATCACACCGGATGTTGAAAAATGGTTCGATACAAGCAACTATGACAAAGACCACAGCAGCGGAATACCGGTTGGAAAGAACAAAAAAGTTGTAGGCATGATGAAAGATGAATGCGGAGGAGAACAAATTTCAGAATTCGTTGGACTCCGTAGTAAACTGTACGCCTATAAAATGGATGAAGGGGAAGAGAAAAAGAAATGAAAAGGTGTAAAGAAATGCGTAGTCAAAAACGAAATAGTATTCGAGGATTACAAAAATTGCCTATTCTCAGGAGCAAAACAATATAGAACAATGAATACATTCCGAAGTCGGCAGCACGAAATAACGACGGAAAGAATAAACAAAACGGCACTTTCGGCAAACGATGACAAGCGTGTTATACTATCCGACAGAATACATACTTTAGCAATAGGACACTATCGACTCTTTCGGAAGGATTAAAAAAAATCGTTTCAAAAGTCGTGATGACGTCATCATTGAATTCTTCGGAAAATGATCACGTGATTGATGACGTCATAATTGAATTTTGGAAAAGAAATGCGTTAGAGGGACGGAGCGAGCCTGAATTAATTAATGACGTCATTAATTAATTGAGATCGTACCGAACCGGTTTGAACCGGTTCAGAAAGCGGATCAAAAATGCGCTAGAACCCGCATTTTAACACTACTTATTTATATGGTCGTCGAATGGTATTTAGTTTATATAACTTATTATATTTGGGTTATGTTTCCTTTTGCCTGGAAAACATTCAGGAATTCGACTAACATCTTAACGTCATGAAATCAACACCTTGGAGACGGGGGAATGTCTGAAAAATCCGCAAGAAATTGTGTTGAAATAAGCTAATAATTATTTTACTAAAGGATGTAAGGATACAATTTTGAATGCATGGTAATACACAAGAGAATACATACCAACACATCCCGCACCATCATTGATGTAGCCTTCCTGACATATACAAATGAAGGAACCCAGGGTGTTGTTGCATGCGATAAAAACTGCAAGATTACATGGAGACGATAAGCATTCATCAATATCTAACAAAATTTAGAAAAAATAATAAAATTCTGTGATAATGTTATTACGAAATGTATGGGTTCGGATTTCGAATGGAATTTTCTATAAATTTAATATCAATCTCTAGTTTCTGTCAATATATATTTTTGAGAGTATAATTGTGATTAATAAAGAACTTTCCCAATACGTTTTTCTAGGTTAAATTCGAAAATATGAGGCACATTTTATCTAGTTTGTATAAGATATTAAATATTTATTAAATGATATAAAAAACAGTGAAAACTGTTTTCTGCTATTTATTTATATATTTTGCTTTCAGATAACGATAATGATTAAATGACCAAGTGCCTCGTCATTTTCTTGCAATCTTTGCGAAAACTCTGTCAATATCCTATATTAAAGGTGCGGTGGAGTAGTTTGATTAATGTAATTTGTAATTTACTTAATTTAATTCGCACAAAATAATTAATTACACTAATTTTTTATTTTAATTACAATACACGGTTAGAAGGTTGCTAGAAACCTCTACAAGTTTTATTTTAGTCCCCTTACTTACATTAATAGATTATATAATAAAGTTTTTGGCAGTTCGAAACTTAAAACAAAACAAATTATGAATATAGGACTATGTACAGTAATAATAACACAATAAATTAACTAAAAAAGTTGATTCTTGTGTATCGTTTAAGAATATATAATATTATTTTTTCTGTAGGAAAGAAGTGTTTTAAAGACCTGGAGGGGGATGTCGAGTAGTTAGAAATATAAAGAAACAATAAATCTACATTCCTGTCAAAAAGTTAATGAAGCACCTGTAAAAATGCACTTAAAATATACAAAATCCAACGTCCTCCTAACAATGTTGCCAATACGTTATTGAAAATCGGTTAGAATCGTTGTTTTATTGCAGGGGGACTGGGGACATCATCTTTCGTGTTTTTTTCACTAATATATCGGACATTGGAAGGGGGAGGAGGATTAAACAGAAAAACATTGTAATTATGCATGGTGTTCAATTGGTTTCTGCCAAGATTGCAGCTTCCTGGGTTACAAAACTTTTTTTTGAAGGAGTAAACTGTCTATCTAATGTTCTCGATCGCTTTATTTACTTCAAGACGTGCGAAAGAATAGATTTTGAAGCCGGCTTTTTCCACAAATGTTTTTCACTCGTTTGACGTCAACTCGATAGCATCTTTTAGCGAATAATCCAAGAGATTTCAAACAAAATACGTCCGAACTTTTCTCATCACATCCTCTCTAAGCAAGATTATAAACAAGTCCTCAGTGCGAAACATAAAGCAGTAAAATTCAAAGATATAGTTTCGTTTAATATAAAGTATACATCTTCCGACTCCCATTTGTCGAGAAATTGAATAGTCACTACTTTTCCCAGAATGATTTTTTAACTGGGATAGCAGGAATTGCCCATTTGGGCAGGCTAATTATTTTCCCATACCTTATCTGAATAGTTAGTTTTAAAAGGTTTATTCAAATTATTAATTTATGCAGATCATCACGCAAATGTATTCCCTCCATGTATCTCATCTTCGAAACCAAACCGGAATGCTCTGGCGCATACTGATATATCCCGTTGAGGGGCACTTTTCTATATAACAAGATTCTAATTACAGTCATAATATGAGAAGGCTTAGTATTAACTATAGTACATAACTGTACCTGTACAAGACTTCCCATTATATGAGAAACCCAACTCACACTGACATGAGCGATGACCATTGATCTTCCTACAGTATCCCAAAGGACCACAGGGGAAAATTGGGCATGGCTCTCCTGAAAACATATTCATTGTTTGTTAGACAAATTTACATCTTCGTGCCACATGTTTACCATTAGATAAACATTTACTAAGTACTTAGATAACGTATAACGTTTATGATAATCCCCATGCCAACGGCGCGGATCGCCGTTCCGGGCGTAAGCCCAGAGCAAGGGCACTAATTCCGTCTGGCTATTTCCACCCGTGAAACGAAAGCGTTAGCGAATTCTGAAGTTCATCCATCATCGCGGGCGTGGGTGATTAACGGTGTTGAGTGGGTGGCCATCTTCAATGATATAAAAACATAAGGCGGACTGCCATTTATAGCGAACACTGATTGGTCAAATTTAAAATTTGCATCATAACGACCACATGACGACAGTGAAATCGCAAACATTTCTTGATTTGGTGATGTCTTGCAAATATGTTTCAT